CCCCCCCGCTTTCGACTTTTCAATTTGATGTTTCTTCCCCTCTGTGAAGCCTGAAGTCAACTAAAGGGCTAATGATAACCATCAAGACGCCTGCCATTTGATATAAATAAATAAATTGTTCTAAGATTGGATAAATAATGAGCATTTGAATAATAGTATAGACTGAATGAATTCTTGAGAAATGAAACAGCAATTAGCAATTTAACTTCCCTCCCCCTTCTCTCCGAGTTACAGTGCCTTACAGGTAAGCAAGACCATCACTTGGAATGACGGCAAAGTGTGAAAGAGCTAGTACTCACGAAACATTGCATTTGCTCTTTTTGGTATAACACATTCCATCTAAATTTAGCTCCACTCTCAAAATCACAATTGTGTAACATCAATGAAATTGTTGAAACGCATATAGATAAACGTGCCACTCAACGGTCTCAGACGAATGCTTATGGTGATTAAAACATTACGCCAATTTTAGTGAAATTTCTCTAAAGCCTGTAAAAACAAAAAGCTTCTAATGTTCGCAAAGCTATGGGCATGTTTATAATTTTAAATAACTACGAATAAAGTAACATGCATGTGTAGGGCTAGTTTCTAACTAAGTATTTTATTTCTAAATCAAAGTCGATTATAGGTGTCTTAAAACTCAAGATTGCTTAGTTAGAAATATGCAAAGTAATGATTTAAAAGAGTTTCCATTGTTGGAAAGATAATATGTGGTGATGATCGATTGTATCTCACACGATGATGCTCAATCTCAGATCGTTCGCCACGGTCAGATAGTGTATACGGAAATTCACTGCCTATTTTGCCAAAAGGGTCTTGAATAGCATCAAACAAATTCACTATAGAGAAGCTAAATGCTAGATAAGAGAGACGCACCATTTCCTGGGTGTATTTTGAACATTCCAACTTCCCCACCGAGAAAGAGGAACATGTTCCCGGCTCCAATTCGATCCACACTGAACACCCCTTCTAGTACAATCGTCTCCCTTTCATCCATCGTCACATAATTGGCAGGAATTAGGCCCTTCTGACCAGTTCGACAGTTCTTCACCTCCCACCAGCCAATATTCTTGTTGAATACGGATAAAACATCGCCAACAAGGAGACTGACTTCATCCACATTTTGAGCAGTGTAGTTGTACAGAGCGTACGCTGATTCAAAGAGGACTTCTTTAATAATTGGTTCAATTGGTTTTGGTTTGAAAAATGACCAATTGGAAAGTTTTCTCTTAATCTTCTCACCTTTAGGCATAATAAAATTCTGAAATTGTCAATCTAAAAATCAAATAGTAGATAGAAAAAATGACAAAACATGAAATTAACATGAATTTGGCATATTTTTTGCATATTCGAAGAGTGTTGCTATTTGTTAAATCAAGGCTCATATTCACACATTACTTATGATTATTTCAAATTGTACTTAATTCGAGCTCAATATGCGCATGTATTTATTGCGTGCATTTTACAGACGAAAATTCTATTTATAGGCTTAAATTCTTAACCATGTAAACAAATTAAAATTTTGCCTAGAATTAATAGCTCACAAATTACTTGTAGTGTTCTTTCCTCCTCTTTCAATCAGACAGACTCGTTGAACGTCCTTTCAATAAATAGCGTTTGAATACTAAAACAACATAAATTGCGATTTGCTTTTAAAAACAAATAAATGGTTATTCATGTTGATAATTATTTTGTTTTTTGCCGTTGGCTTTCAAGATAAACTCGCAAGTCATATGCATTGTGAGCTTTTAAGTGATTCGAAGTCCATATATTGCTGACAATACTCCAAATATTTCAACAACAAACAAACTGATATGATCACTTCCGTCATCGGGAATTTTAATTGTTGCTTATTGGAAACTTCGGAAGTTTATGAAGCAGTTAACCAAACTTGCAAGTTCGATAATTATTCTGTACGGTTTCCAAGAGGGCCATTAAGGCGGAAAGAAAAAATATTTTTTCTTCAAATGGCAAGTGAGACACGTTATCGTTGTGTGCGTCATCGTATGCCTGCATGTCTGCTCGCCAGGACTGGGAGGTGCGGCCGTACAACCCTGTGCGCAGTGACCGTACATACAGTGATCAATCATCAACCTCTGTTTAACATAATCCCCCATCCTGATCATGACTAGATCCCTGCGTGTACACACTTGATCCGCAATATACGTCCTGAATAAACGTGCTCCATGCTACTCGTCTGTTTCCTTTATAGCTGGGCTATAGCTTAGCTGATTCTGGGAGTCTAGCTAGATGTAGGAGAATCTGCCATAGAGATTTCTGAGTCAGTCAGGCTTTACTAAGGAAGCAATCCGCTACAGGCAGG